TATATGATTCCATATAATTGTGACTATTTTACAAGTGCTCCTTAACCCCTTTATAGGGCCTCTATAGTGCCCTGAGGGTGCCCCCACCCTCAGGGTCCCCCTCCCGCCCGGCTCTTTAAGGGGGAAAGGGGTAAAAACGTACCTTTTTCCAGCGCTGGGCGGGAAGCTATCCTCCTCCGTTCCTCCCCGTCGGCTGAATGCACACGCGCAGCAAGAGCTGCGCGCGCATTCAGCCGGTCACATAGGAAAGCATTCACAATGCTTTCATATGGACGCTGGCGTGCTCTCACTGTGAAAATCACAGTGAGAAGCACGCAAGCGCCTCTAGCGGCTGTCAATGAGACAGCCGCTAGAGGCTTTGGGGGAAGGCTTAACCCATTCATAAACATAGCAGTTTCTCTGAAACTGCTATTTTTATAAAAGAATGGGTTAATCCTAGCTGGACTTGGCACCCAGACCACTTCATTAAGCTGAAGTGGTCTGGGTGCCTAGAGTGGTCCTTTAAGGACACATGACGTGTGACATGTCATGATTCCCTTTTATTCCAGAAGTCTGGTCCTCAAGGGGTTAAAGGATCACTATAGGGTCAGGAACACAAACATGTATTCCCGACCCTATAGTGTTAAAATCACCATCTAGCCCCCCTGGGCCCCTCATGCCTCCATAAATATAGTAAGAATCTTACTGTATTCAAGCCTGAAGCTGCTGGCTCTGCCCTGTCTTCCTCAGAAAAACAAGCAGTCTGCTGACATCAGTAGCCTGATCCAATCACAATGCTTCCCCATAGGATTGGCTGAGACTGACAGAGGCAGATTAGGGGCAGAGCCAGCACAATTCAAACACAGCCCTGGCCAATCAGCATCTCCTCATAGAGATGAATCTCTATGAGGAAAGTTCAGTGTCTGCATGCAGAGGGAGGAGACACTGAATGTGTGGATGCATTTTAGGCAGCCATGACCCAGGAAGGATCTCTAACAGCAATCTAAGGAGTGGCCAGTGAAGTTATCACTAGGCTGTAATGTAAATACGGCATTTTCTCTGAAAAGACAGTGTTTACAGCAAAAAGCCTGAAGTGAGCTATTCTATTTTAAATTGCATTGCAGAAATTGCTGCTGATTTTGAAAACTCTCCAACTCCGTTATTGTCATAGCTTGGCTGAATTTTGCAATTTGGCTTTCAAGTCAATATAATTTGGTGTGTATGGAATAAACCCCACCGTGAGTTGTGGTGAGTCAACAACCCCAACATTTAACAAAAAAATCCCAATAATCTCTATTTTAATCTTGGCTGTGTAATCCTAAACTTTGTAGGTCTCTTGTCCCATTACCATGACTCATTATTTGGTGTACATATTTCTTAATGCTCTTCACTGAATTATTTACATTTAATTTTTTTTTTTTTATAAAAACTTGTCGAACTTGGGAGTTAGTTTATGAATAATTCAAATTATTTTTATGAGCCTGGGAAATAATAGACTTGAAACGTATGCATTTTTAAAAAAAAAATCTTAAAATGTTTGTTTTGTTTTTTTATAGAAACCTATAATTTTATTTAAAAATTTGCAAACATTTTATTTAGAGATGCAACTACAGATGAATCATGTACAAGCAATCCTCACCTACTAACCGAGTTCCGTTCCTATGACTGGGTCGTAAAACGAATTGGTCAGTAAGCGGGAATGCCTCACACCAGCAAGACCCAAAGTCTTGCATTTCACTATGCGAATGTGAGTTTCCCCACTTAGACCAGTTCACTAGCGCAGGGAATCCCTTGAATCTATGTTCGGGGGAATTCCAGAGACTCAGATTTGGGGGAATCTCTGTGCTAGAGAGCTGGTCATATGTAAGAGCCGTCAATAAACGGGTAAGTCGTTAAGTGAGGACTACCTGTAGTATGATATACAGAAAACAGAATGTGTTCTTATAGAAAACACATTTAATAAACAGTGGTGAATACAAAAAATAGAATAAGTTATTACAGGCTTGTAATATAAAATGCAGAAAATAAGAGCAAAGACCTGACTGTGTGTGTGTGTGTATTGACATTTTTAAAGGTGCTGCATAACAATTATTTGAGGAAACATTCTGTTGTTGATATGTCTTATTTTTTTTTTTAAATAGTTTTTTCAGTGCATTATTTTCATCTATTTTTCCTTATGATGTAATCTTGGTTGATCCTTCTAAATGCATCTGCCTTCTTCCCTCCAGGTCTCATTCCCTGTGGAAATAAAATGGTTCTTTTTGTATATGTTACATAGACTCTATCTTCAAAATTGCACCTTTTTTTCTGAAAGCAATATTTAAAGATGAAATCAAAATCCAATTTTTATCAGCATTGAATATCTTTGCAGGTGCCTTGCTGCAAATTCTCCTATTGTTTTGAAAGTTAATTATTCCAGGTAGCGCAGAGTTAATTTTTCTCTGTAAATTAATCTATAGATAATTTCTGTTTTATAAAATTACGCATATCTTAAAATGCCCCAAGCTCTCTTTGCGGTTGGATTGCCCAATATGGCTATAATAGGGAATGATAACAATGAAAATGACTCTTTTTAGCACACCCAGATTTCCACAATCTAAAAGTATACAAGGTGTTTGAAAGGTGTGTTTCAATCATACCTTGCTCAAAAAGGGCTAACAGTAGTCAAAAGAGAGCATCAGGCCAGCTAATTGTCCCTCTGACGAACAAACCTTGCTGGACAAGACCTCCATTGTGGAGCAAATCTTGCCATGTGGTAAAACAATGCGTGTTGACATACAAATAGACCTCCTTTTGTTGAAGTGTTGCCCTTATGTTATTTCAAATACATTTCATAATATATATATATATTTTTTTTTTTTTCTGACACCAATTTGAATGGTGATGTCCTTCTGCCATATAAAATCTTAGGGTGGATCACCATTTTCTTGGCAAAGACTTACCCAATTAAAGGACCACTATAGTGCCAGGAAAACATACTCGTTTTCCTGGCACTATAGTGCCCTGAGGGTGCCCCCACCCTCAGGGTCCCCCTCCCGCCCGACTCTGGAAGGGGGAAAGGGGTAAAAACTTACCTTTTTCCAGCGCTGGGCGGAGAGCTCTCCTCCTCCTCTCCGCCTCCGTTACGCCCCGCCGGCTGAATGCGCACGCGCGGCAAGAGCTGCGCGCGCATTCAGCTGGTCTCATAGGAAAGCATTTACAATGCTTTCCTATGGACGCTTGCGTGCTCTCACTGTGAAAATCACAGTGAGGAGCACGCAAGCGCCTCTAGTGGCTGTCAATGAGACAGCCACTAGAGGATTAGGGGGAAGGCTTAACCCATTCATAATTATAGCAGTTTCTCTGAAACTGCTATAATTATGAAAAAATGGGTTAACCCTAGAAGGACCTGGCACCCAGACCACTTCATTAAGCTGAAGTGGTCTGGGTGCCTAGAGTGGTCCTTTAAGGGTATTTTATGAATAAATAATTTACTGTTTTATACATCATTAGATAATTCTCTATATGAAAGTTCAATCCCTTCTCTGTCACTATTTAATGCTTGGCTTGTTTTATTTAAATCAGAAGAATGTGGCCATGTATTTAATATGTTGTGGTGTGATACTTAAATTTAATACATCTCCGATTTAATGTATTTACGTTTACAGAGCTTTGCAAATACATATATTGATGTGTATCTTTTCTGAAGCTATTCTTATTGTAATAGCATTTGCCCATGACTGGTCAAACTGTTTTTAGGAATGACTTTTCAAAGAAAGAGTCAATCTATCCTGTTGAAATAATTTTTGGTGTCTAATCCTAGTAATGTTGTTGTTGTTGTTGTTGTTGTTGTTATTTATATAGCGCCATCAGACTCCATAGCGCTGTACAATGGGTGGACTAACAGACATGTAATTGTAACCAGACAACTGGACTTACAGGAAAAGAGGGGTGGAGGGCCCTGCTCCATGAGCTTACATTCTAGAGGGAGTGGGGTATAGTGACACAAAGGGTAAAAGTAGGGGTACGAAGTAGGTTGTTAGTATAAAAGTATTAATTGAGGGCTCAGTAGGTAATTTTTGACAGTTGCAGGGGAGGAGTCATGGAGGGTGGGGGATGAAAACCTGCTAACAGTTTAATTGATATGCTTTCTTGAAGTGAGTTTTCAACGCTTTTTTGAATGAGTGGAGACTGGGTGAAATTCTTACGGAGAAGGGAAGGGAGTTCCACAGAAGAGGTGCAGCCCTGGAAAAGTCTTGAAGGCGAGTGTTAGAGGTGGGAGTACAGACAGAGGATATACGTAGGTCTTTGGCAGAGCGTAGGGGCCTCGATGGGACATACTTGTGTATTAGGGAGGATAGGTAGGTTGGAGCAGCATTATGTAGCGACTTGTAAGCAAGCACCAGGATTTTAAATTGAGTCCTATATCTAACTGGAAGCCAATGCAGGGACTGAGAGAGTGGGGAGGCGTGAGAGGTGCGGGCGGACAGGAAAATAAGCCTCGCCGCCGCATTCATTATAGATTGCAGCGGTGCAATCTGCGAACATGTAAGACCACTGAGAAGAGTATTGCAGTAGTCCAGGCGAGAGAGAACAAGAGCATGGACCAGCACCTTAGCCGCATCCGGGGTTAAATAGGGGATGTGTGCTATGTTTTTAAGATGGAAGCGACAGGATTTGACGACTGGACATGAGGGGGGAAGGAGAGGTTGGAGTAAAAAATAACACCCAGGCAGCGAGCCTGCAAGGTAGAGGTGATGGTAGCGCCGTTGACTTGGTGTAACGAGAATATACCCCAACACGCAGGATTCAGCTAAACAAAAGACAACACAGAGGAGAGCTACGTCTACCGGACCTTAGAATGGCCGGACTCGACGTATATGAGAGGAGACAGAGTCAGGAACAATCCGAAATCAAGGGCACAGAGAGACAGCGTAAACTAGGACAAGCCGGGGTCTGGTACACAGTAAACAACAAGCCGACAACCAGAACAGATAAGGATAAAGAGAAAACGTAGTCAGAAACAAAGCCAAGGTCAATACGGAGAAACACAACTGAACACAACAAGCGCTAAAGGGAACTGATACAGAAACCACGATAGGGCAAGGAACAAAAGAAAGAAGGTGAGTATAAATACCTAAACATCTAATTTGATTGGACCAATGGGATGCCTTTTCCAATTTAGGCACCCACTGTCCCTTTAAGAGCGCGCCCGATACCCGCGGCGCGCTCTTAGAGTAGGTAGAACACGTGACCGCTACTAGTTACAGCGGTCGGCTGAGCCGCGCGCGGCTCGTGCAGCAGCAGGACCGCGCGCGGCTCGAACAGAGGACCCCGGCCGCCCTCTGGAAAGGGTAAGTACCGCTACACTTGGAGGGAGACAGACACAGGGGTAATAACACTTGAGGGAGGAAAGACCAGAAGTTCTGTTTTGGACAGGTTGAGTTTAAGGAAGTGAGCAGCCATCCATTTGGAAATCGAAGAGAGGCAGTCAGAGACACGAGTTAAGATGGGCAGAGAGAGATCAGGAGAGGACTGGTAGATTTGTGTGTCATCTGCATAGAAATGATAACGGAAGCCAAAGGAGCTGATGAGTTTACCAAGGGAGGCAGTGTAGATAGAGAACAGTAGGGGTCCAAGGACAGACTTGGGGGATACCGACAGAGAGTGGTTGGGGGGAAGAGGCAAAGTCAGAGAAAGAAACACTGAAAGCGCTGGGAGAGGTAGGAGGAGCACCAGGAGAGAGCAGTATCCCGTAGACCAAAATTACGGAGAAAGCGAAGAAGATGTTGATGATCAACAGTGTCAAAGGCAGCAGAAAGATCAAGGAGAATTAAGATTGAGTAAGGCTGCTAGATTTAGCAGCAATTAAATCGTTGGATACTTTGGTCACAGTCATTTCGACAGAATAACCAGCGCGGAATCCAGACGGAAGGGGGTCAAGCAGAGAGTTGGTTTCGAGAAAGTCAGTCAGTCTGGTGTACACAACTCTCTCGAGGATCTTGGAGGCAAATGGCAGTAGCAAGATAGGGCGGTAGTTGGATGGGGAGTTGGGGTCAAGGCTGGGCTTTTTCAGAATTGGGGTTAAAGATGTGTCCTCCTTTTGAGCATAATCTGTCCTGTTAAGTAGTCTTTCATTGCCTACAGGTGTAGTTCTATTAAGAATGAATCCTACTTGATCATGTTGTATGATATGTAGCATCATCTGGTTCATCTTATGGTCAGGTTCCATCTATGAACATGCTGCACAGATGTCCAAGTTTTGGAGCCAGTACTTTCTATGTTTTTTTTTTCCTCAATTTATTTGTAATTTAACATTTTTAAGGTTCTTCATTATTATTAGGTGCTAATTTCTTAATTTCTTCATCTGTTAAACATCCACCAAATTGTCCCCTTACAAATTCTTTTTTGTCTATTTGCAAACCTTCAGTCTCACCGGCGTATAGTCTAGTAAAGTAGTCAGGAAACCTGATGTTTAATGTATATTGCATTGTAGTTTGCTTTGGGTTGCTTGTCTATGCATGGTTTGGCATGAGGTTACAGTGGGGTCTAGAATAATATAAGCACACACACAGGAAATAATAACATCCAACTTGAAGCTCTCCTCAATTTATAGCCAGGATCATACTGTAAACTATTGGTGGACTGAAGGCTTACTGTCAAGCCATATATGGAAATGTAGTCCAATGACAACTTTAAAAATGCAATGAACCCACCTGTGCTCGTGATGTATAGTATAAACATCAATTATTAAACCTTAAATTATGTATGTATTAGCAAGGAATGCATTTTCACCAAATTTTGTTAACTGAGATGAGCTGTCACATAACCCCCAACACTGGACAAGAGAAGGAGATGGCTAAAGAAGGCGGACCAGTGATACAAACTCATCACTGGCTAAGCCCAAAGGGTATGGAACGACTCGTAAATCACTGTTAGGTCAGCCAATGAATGCATGCCAGCCCACTGAGGGCAGGACATGCAGGAAGCACTGTTTCATTGTAAGCACGTCAGACGTCAGAAGCAGCCCAGGAGGCAGGTGAAACGCTCCTGACGTGTGACATCAGAGAGAGGCGGTCCCAGCGGTCATGTGGCCGGAACCAGGAAGTGTCTAAGCTGTATCATTTTCTGTGTGTAAATTCCTGCTTATCTAGTTGTGGGTTTATTGCTGGCAAACCCACTACTTCAAGTAAGAGAGTTTTTAACCTTTTGTTTAAATAAATACTGTGTTTGATACTATTCAATTTGGGCTCCTGCCTCTCTATTTGTTTCTGATTCAGAAGAGTATCCTGTTTTGCTATACTGTAGGTTTATCCCTCTCCATTGGAGCAATTCAAACCCAGAGCCAGGGGTGATAGGGCTCTGGTCCATGTGAGTTGATCCCCAGATAAACTTTTAATTTTGCATACCCTGTATATACAGATAGTCTGCACTATGTACTGTATATTTTTTCAGAGTACGCAGAGAAGATCCTGACTCCAGTGCAGTTGCTAGCGCACTCCAACTTTCTGGTATCTATTGTTTAGTTTTTCCTTTTGTATTTATTACAACTGAGAATGTGTAGTTCTAGGTTGCTTTGTTCCTAGGACATCTGAAGCCTCATTAGGGATCCTGATACAGAAACTGTATTTGTTTTATCATAAATCAATTGTTTATCTTTTTTACAGCGCTGAATGATTTCCCTATGGTCCACTTACATAGGTTAGTTATTTCCTGTGAGATGTTATACTTCTATTTATATTTTTAACAAATGTATTTTTCCTTTTCATTGAAGGAAACTATACACTAAAATAGTTTTATGAATCACAAAACAATTATGTTTTACTACTGAGTTCTGAAATATGCATGTGTAAACATTTCCAGATATTGCAGTGCAGAGGGCAGAGTACTGAGTTCAGGTATGCGACCCTATGGCTGGCCATCTTGAATATGCAGTAACTGATCACTTTCTTCTAAACTGAACCTGGGCATTTATAATCACAAAACATTCCAAAGCACATTTATTTACTTTTCAGTCCATACTTTAAAGATTTCAAGATAAAAGGAATCCTACAATATTTATTGGTAAAATATTTTTATAAATAAATATTGTACGTACATATGTATGTATTAAAGAGGCACTGTATCTGCTTCATCTCATTGAAGTCTGGAGTGCTGTCCCCCTTTTTTACCAATGGGCAGCTGTAATTGGCCGATAGTGTCATCTAACTTATTGTAGCCTCTCAGAGCATCCATTGCCTGTGTGAATGGGTATGATTACAACAAAGTATTTATTTAATTTCTTCCTTAGCCAAACCTCCTGTAGGGGCGAGGCTGTGGGTGGCCAGGTACCCTTATTTAATGTTAAAGCTGCTTGAAAGTGGTTTTAAAACTAAATGGAGGGACTATGCAAGGGGACTTCAGTCTCTGATACCAATTCACAGAGATTAAATTGTTTATAGTGAATGCAGTGTACTTTCTAATTAGATTTGTTCCTTTTATCACTTTATATTACTGAGCCCTACTTTAAAAAAAATTAAATTAAAAAAGTGAGATCATCCAGCTTCTCCGCTCAAATTTTCTCATAAATAAGTACTGCGCATGGGTGACCATGACCGCTCTCCTCCCATCCTGTGCTTCTTAGTTGGAATCATTGAATCCAGAGTTTCTGAAGTATTGGACACACACCCAGCAACTGGTGTTATAATTTGCATGCTAATGCTGTACATACAATGGATTAAACTAATTAGTTTTAGCCCAATGCCCCTAGTCTCTGCTTGAATGGAGGCTGCTGTGGGAATAGTGAAATGTTAGCAGGCTGTAGGGACAGTATCTCTGCTCCAAATTGCTTATTTAAGAGGAAATTATATTGTTGCTTAGACTGTACCTTCAATTCTAACCTAATGCATTTATTTTGCTCTAACTTTAAAGGGCCACACATATGCCTCCATTTTTTTTCTTCCACTCTACAGATTTATAAAATACTTGTTGCAAAACATTACATCCAGCATATCATAGGGCATTAGTCATGATGCTGCAGGAAGGCCATCCTAATTACTTATAGGGTTCACAGCAAAACCGTTCTGTCTCATCCCCTTCCACGTTACATTTACATATATTTTTTTCTTCTTGTTTTCTGTTTAAAAAAAAAAAAAGGTATACCTCATAACAGTGAGTTTTAATGCTGTGGAATACGCTCATACATGGAACACTGTGATACGCTCATACATAAAGCACATTCTAAACATAGTACACTGTTTACCTTACAGTATTCTCTAAGCACCAACCCTCTTTTACCACTCAGCTAGGTTCCTGCTCAATTACAATAAATCTGTCACTTTAAAGATAATTTCTAGATTGCTCATTCTGGTGAGGTGAGGGCTTTTTCATGATGTAGATACCAACCTGAGAGAACTTCTCAAAGTTCATGTGATTGAAGTAGCTTCAGACATTACCAAGTCTGCCTCAGTATCCCACGGAGTAGAAAACACACCTACATATATCTCCGGCATAAGAGTTGTGGTGGGATATCAAAGATGTCAAAATACCAGAGTATTGCAGTATGCAATGATCCCTTTTTTATTGGACTAACATAATATTTCAAAGACAGGCTTTCAAGAGATTTCCTCTCTTCCTCAGGTCTGAAGCAATACTGATCAATCTGAGAAGAGTTTAACACTTAAAACAACTGAGGGTCCTCTTCAACCTATTGTTCCTGTAAGTTTTCTTGTAATTGTCCTATTTATTGTTACACCCCCCCTCTCAAAATATTGTAAAGCGCTACGGAATCCGTTGGCGCTATATAAATGGCAATAATAATAATAATAATAATGTTAGAGAAGGGGAGGGGTGAGTGGGGTGTCATAAATAGCAGAAGTTGTGCCTGAAAGTGAAAGGAGCACATTAGTTGAGAATAGCTAGAAAAGGTAAAGAGAGGATAGTTAAAAGGGAAAAACAAACAACAACAAAAAACAGCATACAAGTATACAGGTACATATATAGTTGTGCTCAAAAGTTTGCATACCCTGGCAGAATTTTAAAAAATTTGGCAAAAGGTATTTTTTTGAAGGAAACCATTTATTATCACACAGTTGTTTTGGCTCCTTTTTTGATAGTAGAAATCACCAATTGGCCCTGATCGAAAATTTACATACCATTGATTGTTTGTTACAGACACACAGGGTAAAATGGCACTTAAAAGTTAATTTCCCACAATTCTTATCTGTGTATAAATAGTCAGGAAGTTTGTTAGCTCTCACATGGGTGCACTGAGCAGGCTAAATACTGAGCC